ACGCGGACGACGACCACGCTGACGACGACGCGGTCGACGCCGCCGACGACGACGACGACGATTCGGACGAGCGACGACGACGCCGACGCCGACGCCGACGACGACCGCAACGATGACGACGCGGACAACGACGACGACTTGGACGACGACGGCGACGACGACGACTACGACAACAGGGGCGAGGACGACGACGTCGATGCGGACGGCGACGCCGACGACGACGACGCGGACGACGACGACAGAAGACCACGTCGCTGACGACGAAGCCGAGGACGACGACGCCGACGACGGCGACGTCGACGCCGACGACGCGGACGAAGACGACGCGGGCGACGACGACGCCGACGACGACGACGACGGCGACGTCGCGGACTGCGAAGACGCAGGCTACTGTTACGACGACGCGTACGCCGACGCCGACGCCGACGACGACGCTGAGGACGACGACGACGTTGCCGACGAGGACCGCGACGACGATGACGCCGACGACGACGACGACGCGGATGACAACGACGCCGACGACGACAGCGACGACGTCGACGGCGATAACGACGACGACGACGCGGACAACGACGACGTCTACGACGGCGGCCGCGACGACGACGACGATGGCTCGGACGACGACGACTTGCACGACGACGACGACGAACGTGACGACGACGCCGAAGACGACGTCGAGGACGTCGACGCAGACGACGGCAACGACGACGACTACGACGACGACTACGACGACGGCGACGACGACGACGACGACCGCGACGACGGCGCGGACGGTGACGACGCTGACGACGACAACGACGACAACGACCGCGACGACGCCTCCGACGACGACATCGCGGACGACGACGATCGACGACGACGACGATCGCGACGGCGACGGCGCGGACAACGGTGACGGCCGACGACAAAGCGGACAGCGGCGACGGCGGACGACGACGCGGACGACGACGACGACGACGCGGACGACGACATCGACGACGGCGACGACGACGACGCGGATGACGACGCGGGCGACGGCGTCGACGACGACGACGACGACCGAGATGACGACGACGACACCGAACACGACTTCGACGACGATGTCGACGACGACAGCTCCAGGGGCCCACGTCGTCGCAAATCCGCGGCGTCGGCGGTCTGGGGCTTCCGATGCGCTTGAGGCTGGGTGGAGTGTAGCCTTAAGTCGGGCATGTCCCTCTACAGGAGGAGTATTCCAAAATAGTCAAGAATAGTCTGGGGATGATTTTACCTAACAGCGAAGACTGATAGGTTTCTAGTTGACTCAAAAGAGCTCACAGATCACTCCACAGGGGGGTCCGGGCAGGTGTTGGGGAGTTGCCGGGCGGCAGGGTGCCGGGCTCGTTTTTCACCAACAGTCACACACTTCGTGCTCTTCGACTTCCCAGAACTCCATTCCCAGGCCACATTCTGAATACCCGGATGCAACAGTCACACACTTCGTGCTCTTCGAGATCCCAGAACGCCATTCCCGGGCCACATTTAGAATAACCGGATGCAACAGTCACACACTTCGTGCTCTTCGAGTTCCCAGAACGCCATTCCCGGGCCACATTCTGGAGGACCGGATGCAACAGTCACACACTTCGTGCTCTTCGAGTTCTCAGAACTCCATTCCCGGGCCACATTTTGGATGCCCGGAGCCAACTGTAGGCCACTTCGTGCTCTTCGAGTTCCCAGAACTCCATTCCCGGGCCACATTTTGAATGCCCGGAGCCAACTGTAGGCCACTTCGTGCTCTTCGAGTTCCCAGAACTCCATTCCCGGGCCACATTTTGAATGCCCGTAGCCAACTGTAGGCAACTTCGTGCTCTTCGACTTCCCAGAACTCCCATTCCTGGGCCACATTTTCAGCAGGGGCAAGAGCACGACGAGGAGGAGGACGAGCAAGACCAGGAGGACGAGGACGAGCAGGAGCAGGACGAGGAGCAGGAGGAGCAGGAGAAGAAGGACGAGCAGGAGGAGGAGGAGGACGAGCAGGAGGAGGAGGACGACCAGGAGGAGGAGGACGACCAGGAAGAGGAGGAGGAGGAGGAGGAGGAGGGGAGGGGGAGGAGTACCAGGAGGAGGAGGAGGAGGAGGAGGAGGAGGAGGAGGAGGAGGAGGAAGAGGAGGAGGAGGAGGAGGAGGACGAGGACGAGGAGGAGGAGGAGGAGGGGGGGGGAGAGTACCAGGAGGAGGAGAACGAGGACCACCAGGAGGAGGAGGAGGAGGAGGAGGAGGAGGAGGAGGAGGAGGAGGAGGAGGAGAGAACACCAGGAGGAGGAGGACGAGCAAGACGAGGAGGACGAGAACGAGGACGACCAGGAAGAGGAGGAGGAGGAGGAGGGGAGGGGGAGGACTACCAGGAGGAGGAGGAGGAGGAGGAGGAGGAGGAGGAAGAGGAGGAGGAGGACGAGGAGGAGGAGGAGGAGGAGGACGAGGAGGAGGAGGGGGGGGAGAGCACCAGGAGGAGGAGAACGAGGACCACCAGGAGGAGGAGGAGGAGGAGGAGGAGGAGGAGGAGGAGGAGGAGGAGGAGGAGGAGGAGAGACCACCAGGAGGAGGAGGACGAGCAAGACGAGGAGGACGAGAACGAGGACGAGCAGGAGGAAGAGGAGGAGGAGGAGGAGGAGGAGGAGGAGGAGGAGCAGGAGAAAGAGGAGGAGGAGGAGGAGGCAGGCTGAGGCGGAGGCTGTGACTGCGACTGCCGTTGCCGCTGCGACTGTCATCGCGAATGCGACTACGACTGCGAGAACAGCAGAATTCGACAACTGGATTTTCATCTGAATCGTAAGGGGAATGCTTTCAGATATGCTTCTACACATCGCTGTGAGGTTGCTTTGCCGGGATTTCATCTGAATCTTAAGGGGAATGCTTTCAGATATGCTTCTACACATCGCTGTTAGGTTGCTTTGCCGGGATAATTGACTATTTTTAACTGTGTTTGAATTTTTTTGATACTTTGATTTATCGTCCAAAATCCGCCTGCAGGAGGACATGCCCTACCTAAGGGTAGTCTCGGGGTCCAGAGTCTGGACGTCGGAGGCGGAAGGGGGGCTTTGGGGTGGCGGCCTCTCGGCGCCGTCCTGGGGCTTCTTCTCTTCGTCTCTCTCTCTCTCTCTCTCTTTCTTCCTGCCTTCGCCTCCTTGTTCCTCCTCCTGCCTTCTCCTTCTCTCTGCCCCTTTCGCCCCTTCTTTTCCTCGTTCCTTCTTGGTGCAGGCTCCTACTCTGTCACCTAGCTGGCCGATGGCATCTGGATTGAAGTCTGGCGTCTCCTCTACAGGAGGAATCTTCAATTTTTGTTTTGACCAGTTTTGAGTATTTTTAGATTGTCTTTTCGGTCAAAATTCCCCTGCAGGAGGACATGCCTGTCCTGAAACTGAATTTGGCGGTCCCATCCCTCCTGCCGAAAAGCAGAAGCGGTGCAAAGTCAACCCCCTTCCATATCTTATTTTCGTTTATTTTATTCTTTATAAAAATTACTCCCACCCTATTATCCTTTTTTGTTTTCTATTTTCTTTTCTTTTTTATTTTTATGTTTTCTTTTTTTTAGTTTTTGTTTTTTTTTTTTTTTTTTTTTTTTTTCGTTTTTTTTTTTTTTTTTTGTGTTCCCGGTGGGGGTTTTTATTTTTTATTGGTTTTTTTTTTTTTTTTTTTGTTTTTTTATTTTTTTCTTTTTTTTTTTTTTATTTTTTTTTTTGTTTTTTTTTTTTTACCCAACCTTTCTTTTTTTTCTGAAGAGCCTATCTTCGTTCTGGTATTTTACTATTTTTTTCTTTGATTTTCTTAATTATTTTTCTTCGTCTCAGCATGGGCATTCTGCCGTCGACGCCGCAACATGCGTGGCAGAAAGGGGACGCGGCGCGCATCCCACGCGACGCGCCAACACGTCCATCTCGCTTCGGCGCTGCGCTGATGTTTCTGGAGAGCGGGGCTTCCGCTTGGGCGTGGCGCGCAGGCGCGGGCTTGTCGACGCGCGAGCGGGCGAAGACGTCGCCCTCGCCTCGGCGCCGCGCAGACCTCGCCGGAACGTGTCGGTCCTGCTTCGGCGCGGCGCGTCGCCAATTCTTTTGGGGGGCCCGCGCGAGTGGGCGACTCGTCGCCCTCGCCCGAGCTCCATGCGCACGTCGCTCGGGAGTGGCGTGCCCGCGCGGGCACGGCGCGTGGTCCGTTCGCCGCATCGCGTGCGAGCGGCAGCGGCAGCGGGGCCGCGCGAGAGCGGGACAAGTACCGACTTCGCCCAGGCGCCACGCAGGTCGCGAGTGAAAGTGGCGGTGCTGTGGGAGCGCCGCGCATGCTTTGTCGTCGCCGCGCTCAGCGGAAGTTTTGCCGCTCCAGCCTCTTCGCCGCCCGTGTGCTTTTCCCTGTGCCAAGTCGTCGTAAGCGGGGCCGCGCGCGCGCCTTCGATAGTGTGGCCAAGAATGCTGAGCCGTTCGGTGGCAGCGATTGGCTACCTGCTCTTTCAGGCCCGTACGTGTGTACCGTTTCGCTCGCAGCCTTGGCCCAAAGTGGGCTCAAGAGACCTGCCCATACGCTCTCCTTGCCGTCCGCGCCGCCATGGCCCCGCCGGCCTGTCGCCGCCCTGGAGGCCTGGCCAGCGGCGCTGCCCCCCGGGGGGCCGCCACCGTCGTGCTCGGAAGCGACGCGGCGGAGCAGACGACCAACGGCGGCACCCACGGCGGCGCGCCGGCGTGGGCGACCAGCAGCCAGGCCCTCGGGGCCAGCAGTGCGGAGGCAGCCGCTCTCTGCCACGCTCCTGGCGGGGCCCTCCCCGGCGGGGCGGCCGGCCTCGAGCTGGGGGCGGCCGAAGAGCAGCCCGCTGCAGAGGAGCTTCTGGCGCGGTCGGCCGACGGAGGCCTCGACTCCGTCGCGCTCGGCGCCGCGCGCGCGGGGCTCGCACCCGAGGCGCCGCTGCTGCCCCCCAGCGCGGGCGGCAGCGACCCCGGCGGGTGGGCCAGCAGCAGCAGCCGCCCCGGCGAGGGCCTGCGCGCGGCCGCGGCGGCCGCGGAGGCGCCAGTGCGGCCTTCCCTCGGCAGCGTCGACTCGGCGGTACTCGCCGATGCCGCGGGTGGGGCGGCCCTGGCGCGCCCGTGCCCCGGAGGCGCCTCCACGCTGAGCCTCGGCGCCGAGGGCGCCGAGTGGACCACCCAGAGCTCGTCCTTGGGCGCGGGCGCCGCGGCGGCGGCCGCGCTGGTCCAGGCTGCGCCCCGGCAGGCTCCAGGCGGCACCGACAGCGTGGACTTCAGCGCCCGCGGCGGCGACGTGGTGCCGGCAGAGGCGCTTTTGGCGCGGCCCTCGCCCGGCGGCCGCGACTCCGTGGTTTTCTCCGTCGAGGCCCCCGCCGGCAGCGCCGCCACAGAGCTGCTGGCGCGCCCCAAGCCGGGCGGCGCCGACACGGTGGTGTTCGGGGTGGACGACGCGTGCTGGGAGAAGAGCAGCAGCGTGCACGGCACCACGGCTGTGGCGGCGCCGCCGACGCCGTTGCGCGCGCGCCTCAGCCCGTTTGGCGTCGGCTCGGTGGCCGAGGGGGCCATGAAGCGGCGCATCGGCGGGGGCAACCCCAGCGTGGTGCTGGAAGACACTGGCAGCTTCGCTGCCACCTGGGCGCAGTCACGCCGCCCCGCTAGCGGTGGCGTGGCCACGTGGCGCGGTGCCGACCGCATGCAGTACGTGCCCAAGGGTGCCAGCGCGCTGATGTTTGGCAGCGAGGATGCCCCAGCCACCTTGAGGGCGGTGTCGTCGAATCTCTTCGCGAGCGGCAGCAGCCAGAACTGTGGCAATCCAGTTGCCGGTGGCAAGTCCCGCCACAGTGCCAGCGCAGCATTCAGGGTGGCGACTATGCGAGGGGCCTCTGGAGGCCGTCACGTGTGACACCTCGGGTCTCTTGGCGGCCTTGGGACCTGTTGAGTGCCTCTTGGGGGCCTCTAGGAGGAGACTGAGGGCGCTCTTGGGCCGTCTGGCGCCTTTCGGAGTCCGTATTAAGGGGCTCTCTGCGTCGTCTTGGGGCTATCCTTGAAGACCCTGATGGCCATCTGAGGACCCCCTTGGGCCCACTTGGGGTCCTCTTGGGCCCCTCTTGGCCCGTCATTGGACGCTCTTGAGGCCCTCATGGGCCGTCTTGAGGCCATCTTGGAGGCCTCTTGGGCCGTCTTGAGCTGACGAAAACCCGAAAAGGTGAGAATGCGATCATCTTTTTAAAACCTAAGCAACAGTGATCTTGGCCTCTTCGGGTCCTGCTGGAGGTTCTTCTGGAGCTCTACGGGGCCGTCTTGAGAGCCTCTCGGCTAGTCTTGAGCCCATCTTGGGCCGTCTTGGGGTTATTCTGGGCCGTCTTGGAGGCATCTCGGGCTGCCTTGGTAGCCTTGGAGGCTTGCCTGGGTTGTCTTGGAAGCCATCTTGGGCATCTTGGACGCCTTGGGGAGCGCCAGGGAGGCGTCGAAGCACCCAGGGAGCCTCGGGAAGAGGGGGCGGTGCATGCCGCGAGGGGAGGTGTGTGGGCCCCTTAGAAGACTACAGAAACCCTGACAGACAGAGCTTGGCATTCGACCACGCCTCAACGTGCCTTGGGGCACGGTGGCGGACTTCCTCACGGACAGGCCCAGCACTCGGCTCCATCAGGCGCCCGGTGGCACGAGCTCCGTCAGCCTTGAGCACGACAGCGCTGGGCCTTTTGCGAGCGTGTCCTCCAGCCGCTTCGCGAGCGCGAGCAATCAGAACAGCGGCAACGTGCTCACCGACCGGCCCACCACAAGGGTGCGCCAGGCACCCGGCGGCAACAGCTCGCTCTGCCTGTCGTAGCCGTGCGGCGGCAGAGCCTCTTCCTTCGATGGGCCAGCAGCCGTCGGCGCGCATCGGCGTTGTCGACGCCTGTGCTCACGATCACAGGGCCTCTGGACATCACATTGCCCACTTGCTTCAAGTCGGGCGTGTCCCTCTACAGGAGGAATATTCAAAACTATTCAAAACAGTCAGGGGACGTTTTTTTTATTATTATTTTTTTGCGCATTTTGGGGGTATCTTTATTTTTTCGTCCAGAATCCGCCTGTAGGGGGACGTGCCCGACCTAGCACTTGCTCTGGGCAGCGAATTCGCAGGCGCGCCACAGGCCATCCTGGCGCGGCGGCGTCCGACTGGGGTCGGCGCCGCACCCGAGGCGTCTGGCGCTGCGGCTCCGCCTGCCGGTGCCGCAGCTCGGCCGCGGCGCGGCGCGCTCACCTCCTCGCCTTCCTTAAGTCGGGCGTGTCCCTCTACAGGAGGAATATTCGAAAGTAGTCATGGGGGCGATTTATCTTTCATTTTGTTGACTATTTTGGAGTACTTTTGGACTCATTTTGTAATTTTTCGTCCAAGATCCGCCTGTGGGGGGACGCCCGACCTAAGCTCGCCTCCTCGCTTCCCCCCCCCGCCTCCCAGGCCGGCAGGGACTAGCCAAGCCCCCCGAGTCACGGCTGTCGCCCTCCCCTCTCATTCTTCCAGGCCGGGGTTGGTCTGGTTGCCACTTCCGGCCGCGCAGGCTCGGCCGC